GGCCTGACGCGAGGCCAGGCGCAAATCGAAAGTTGTGGCCATTCCCCTCCGCTCACAGCAGCGCAAAACCTTATCCCCAGAGGGGTGGTCTTAGATGCTTGATTGAAGGTGTGCCAAGCTCCTGGCTTTTGTGAGGGCGGGAGAGGAGGGGGCAACGGTAAGGGGAGGAGGCGGAGGAGAATGGATGAGGAAAACGTGGAAGAGTCACGCTTTCCAATTTTTCCGATGCGTGGGCCCCAAAGGTCTGGAACACTTCCCTAGGGCCGGTTTTTCGCCTGAGTCGTTTTTTCACGGTCCCGAGGCCCGGCGAGGGCCCCCGGAGGCCTGAAACAGGCAAAAATCGCCCGTTCCACTTTTTTGGGAGCGTCACGTCTTGGAGTCCCCTTATCCACCCCGTTCCACGTCTCCCTTCGTGTTGCTCCGCTCCCAATCCCCCTTCCTGCAATTCCCCTCTCACCCCCGCTCGCTCCCCTCCCTGCTCCATATCCTCCTCCCCCCATCCACCGCCTTCCCCCGTCTCCCCAGGTATGGGACGCCCTGATTTCTTCAATCCCAGACTGCAGGCGTCTTGAAAGAATCGAGACGGAGGTTTCTCACAGTTTTCGACGTCTCGGCGGGATGGGAAGCCGGCCCCACGGAAGTGGCGGAGAGATATGGGGCCCGAGACGCTCGATGTCTTGGATACGCGGTCCCCAGAAGCCCCGACCCTTGCCCCGGGACCGGAGGCAGAGAACGGTGAAAAAGCGGCGCCCCGAGTTTGCTACGACGCGACCATGTTTGGGTCCAGGATTGGGAGGGCCAGAGGGGGGGAGCACTGGACCGGTGTGGCGGCGAGTGCCTCGCAGGTTCCTGCTCTACGGGAAGGCCCACCCCGAGCCGGGCCTCCACGTGGAGGACCCGATCGAGCTCCGCGACCTCAACATCCGGCAGGGCCCACGCCACCCCGCCAGCCCCACAAGAGAGGGGGGCCCAACAAGAGAGGAAGGAGGAGGGAGGAGGGGGGGGGTCCAGTTGAGGAGGGACGAGGACGAGGACGAGGACGAGGAGGAGGAGGAGAAGGTGCTCAAGCTGCTGCGGCGCCCCCCCCCCCCAGCTGACAGCGCTGGGCCTGCCTGGGACGCGGCTGGAACAGCGTACGTGCCGCCGGCGCCGACAGCGGAGAGACTCGGCGCCTGCTCTCCCGGGTGGCCGCGCGGGTCGCTCTCGGCGAGCTCCCGCCGGATGTCCTCCGGACGCTGCGGTCAGGAGTGCTCGTGGCGCTCGACACGGTCAAGCAGTGGCGAAGCGTCCCGGCGTGCCTATAGGCCTACCAAACAGTGTTCTAAGAACCATTTGTGGTCTCCACGACAAGTTCTTAGAACATTTCTGGGCGAGACTGTCTCGTTTTAAGACACCGGGCTCATGTTCTAAGAACAGTGTTTTTGTTTTAGAGCAGTTTTGGGTTCTAAGAACATTCCGTGGTAGGACTATAAAAATGCGGGGGCGGTCGGTCCCTGCTCAACAAAGGGGGCGGCGAGGTTCGACCTGTCCTGGTGGGAGCGACTCTCCGCCGCCGGGCGCGGAAGGCGCAGCTAGCCGAGGCAGCGGGCGGGCACCAGTACGGGGTTGGGCGGAAGGGCGGGGCGACCTTGCTGGTTAAACACCTGCAGGCCTTGGTGGAGACACGGCCAGACGCCACGCTTATCAAGGTAGACGCGAAGCCGGCGTTTCAGCGGATGCGGCGGGGCCCCGCTTTCCAGGCGATGGCGGCGGCGGTCCCCGAAGCGGCCGAAGTGTTGCAGGCGCGGTACGCGGAGCCGGCCGCCGAGCACTACCGGCGCGGAGCCAACGGGCAGTACGAAACTAACTGGAGCCGCCAGGGGTTCGACCAGGGGGCCCGCTCTCCCCCGCTGGCTTCGCCGTCGGCCAGCGGCAGGCCTTGGAGCAGCTTTTGGGCGAGCTGCAGCAGCGGGACCCCGACGCTCGGCTATTCTCTTACCTGGACGAGACCTACCTTGCGGTGAGAGCGGATCTCGGGCTGCTAACGCTGACCGGCTTGAACACAGTGCTTGCGCCGCTTGGACTCGAATTCAACGCTCGGAAAAAGCTGGTCTGGTCCCCGGCCGGGGCGCAGGCCGTCCAGCCCGAGCTGGCGGGCCACTTTGCGCCCGTGCTTCCAATTCTCGGCACGAAGCTCCAGGCGCCGGGAGACGCCGACGACGCGGCGTTCCTCCTCGGCGGGCAGGGCTGCGGATTCGACAACGCGACGACGCGCCTGCGGCAGCTCTGGGCTTGAGGGGGCCCAGTGGGCGACCGCGAGGCGCGCCGCGGCTTTCTGGGCCGCCTGGGCGCACGCCGCCGACGAGGTGCGCCGCGACTTGGGCGCCGCTTCGCTCGCGGACGCGTTGGGCACTCCGCCCGGAGCGCAGCGGCGCTTGCAGGGGCGCGCGCAGAACTTGCGCGCCAGGGCGCAGAGCCCTCACCCGCAGCCCCGCTCGCCGCGGCGCTCGGATGGCCGATGAGGCAGAAGACGATGGTTGCGACCGTGCACAAGACAACTCCCTGGCTGCCGCCCGGCAGCGAGTGCACCTGCGCAATCAGGCTGTCCTTGGGTCCGCCGGCGGGCCTGGATGCGGGGCAGCCTGCGCCCTTGAAGACGTGGGGTGGGCCACTGGGACCCGCTGCCGCCTCCTGATTCCGCGGCGCCAGAATGCTCTCGTGACGAGCTCGCACGGGTGTCTGCGACCTGCTGCAACCAAACGGGCGCCGGGGCTCCCTGCCAGGCGCTCCTTGACGAGGACGGCTGCGACGCGGCCACCTGCCAGCCCGGGGGAGGCGTCGTCCGGCGCCACGGCGGGTTGGCCAAGGCGGCGGGCTGCTTGGCGGCGCGGTGGACGCACGACCGCACGCTGCACGAACAGCGCGTGCCCACCTGGGACCGCTATCGGCCCCGACGCCCGACCGAGGGCGCCGGCCCCCCGTCTTTGAGCGAGCCATACTGGGTGTCCAGCACGAGGACCTGGACGGCAGGCGATGGGTGGACGTCGCCACTGCGCGCCACCCCGCGGCCGGGGACGAGCCTGCCGTTCGCGTCGCCGCCCGGAGGCCAGGCCAGGCCTCGCGCCGTGCAGAACGCGAGAGGCGCGAGCGCTATCCCGGCGAACGGCTGACTGCCTTCGCCGTGGAGACCGCGGGGCGGCTCGGCGCGGAGGCGCGCCAGTAGCTGGTCGGCCACGTGCGCGAACTGCCAGAGGATGAGCAGCACGCCGAGTTGTCCAGCGCCTGCAGCGCGGTCGCTGCGCTGTCCAGCGCCACCCGGTTCGGCAGCTGCGCCAGGCGGCGGGCCTGCCCCGAGGAGGAGGAGGAGAAGGAGGAGGAGGAGGAGGAGGAGGAGGAGGAGGAGGAGGGGGAGAAAGAGGAGGAGGATGAGGAGGAGGAGGAGGAGGAGGAGGAGGAGGCGCAGCTCGAAGGCGGCAGACCGCCTCACTGGAGGCCTCAGGAGGAGGAAGAGGCTGAGGAAGCGGCGGAGGCCAGCCCTGGAGCGGGAGGAGGAGGAGGAGGAGGAGGAGGAGGAGGAGGAGGAGGAGGAGGAGGAGGAGGAGGAGGAGCAGGAAGAGCAGGAGGAGCAGGAGGAAGGTGGAAAGAAGAGGGATGAGGAGGGGGTCCTTGGGGGTTTGCGGGGCAGGGCTTTCAGGGGTTCTGGACTGCCTTTAGCGTTCTCGGGGCGCCCCAGAGGGCGCAGGGACCAGGAACAGGAACAGGCTGCGCCGCGCAGCGGCCCAGGAAAATCAAACGGTCCTCTTGCGCAACCCAGCCTGGCTACTGGAGGGTGTAGGAAATCCGAGAGGCCCTGGAGGGTCCAGGGAACTCTAGCGCCACATCCCTCCCCTCCCAGGCGGGGTTCCACGCCTCTGGCAAGGATGAATGGAACACTCCCAAACCTGATTGCGTCGCTAAAAAATCAGGACGCAGATTTTGTCGCGATGCTCTGCCTCTGGAGACCCTCGCTGGGCCCCCGGACCGTCAACAGAACAATTCATGAGGATCCACCTCCCAGATGGGGAAGTAGATGGGGTCGGAGGATCGCGCCGCATCGCCGATGCATCGGCGATGCGGCTCGATGTGGAGCCCGACTTGCTCCACGTCGACGTCGCCGATGCACCGCCGATGTCGGCATTGCATCGCCAGCGCATCGCAGATACATCGCCGATGTATCGGCGATGCGGCGCGATCCCCCGACCCCATATGCCCCGACCCCATCTAGGAGGCCTCCAGAAAAGAAGGCCGCGCCGGGGAGAGGGTCGGGACTTTCGGGATCCGCGCATGGACAAAACGAAGGCGTCGCACGCCTGGGCAACAAGCATCTCACGGGCCTTGCCGCCCTTGCCGGCGCTCGGGGGCCGGCGGGTCGTGCTAAGGAGGGAGAGGCTAGCCCAGCTGAAGGCCGACCCTCCCCGTCCCTTGAGGACTGCCGCGAACCTCCGAGCTTCCGGCATCCCCGCTCTCCTCCGCGTCGTCCGTCTCCTCCTCCGCCGCCTGCATCTTCTCCGTCTCCGCCCTTTCCTGCTCGCCCTCTACCTCCTACCCCTCCCCCTCCTCCTGCTGCTCCTCCTCCTCCTCTTCCTCCTCCTCCTCCTCCTCCTCCTCTTCCTCCTCCTCCTCCTCATCCTCATCGTTCTCCTCCTCCTCCTCCTCCTCCTCCTCCTTGTTCTTCGTCATCTTCCTCTCTCCTCGTCCCTCCTCTTCCTTGACCTCCTCCCCCTCCGCCTCCTTCTCCTCCTCGCCCTCGTCCTCCTCATCTCCTCCTCCTCCTCCTCCTCCTCCTCCTCCTCCTCCTCCTCCCCTTCCTCCTCCTCCTCCTCCTCCTCCTCCTCCCCCTCCTCCCCCCCTCCTCCTGATCCTCCTCCTCCTCTCCTCCTCCTCCTCCTCCTCCTCCTCCCACATCCCTGTCACACCCCCAGACGTGTCGGCAGGGCGGGGCAAGCGGTTCGCCTGAGACGCCCTCACCATTCATGATCCTGAAATTTGAAATGTGCAAGAGCTTCAGGCATGGAGGGTGGTCCGTTTTCAAAATGTTGTTATCGCATCAGCGCCGCGCACGATCGTTAGAACAGTTGCAGCCATTTCGAAGATGAAGGGCGGCTTCTTTCAAACATTGTGGTTCTCGCCTCAGCGTCGCACACATTCGCTTCAAAAGTTTGCAGCAGCTTCAAGGTTTCGCACGGTCGAAGTCCCAGGCATGGTGTCCTGGCCCGATTTAGGATTTCCAGGATGCAGCAGTCACGTTGGTTCGCGGTGTTGAGGTCCCAGCCGTGGTGTTCTGGCACGAGTCTGGATTCGCAGGGCGCAGCAGCCTTGTTGATCCGCGCCGTTGAAGTCACGCAACGAAAACAAAAACATGTGGCTGGGACGTATGAAGAGGGAGCTTTGAGGGAGAGTGTTTTGCAACATCGATGATGCGTCTTGGGGTTGCACTGGTCCTCCTCCTCCTCTTCCTCCTCCTCCTCCTCCTCCCCTCCGCCCAGCACCTCGCTGCCTGTATGCTGTTCGACCTCATGTTTGATCTCAACTCCAGGTTTCAACCAGGGCTTGAGGCACGTACTTGGGTTGATGATGTGAACTCGCGAGCTGAAGGCACGGCCAAGAATGTGAACAATCAGACTGTATCGTGGTGGCTTTCAAAGAGAGGTTAGATCAGCTGCACCTCTCTCTCTGTCTAGCAAATCCTGTGTCATCGCTTCAACTGCCACCATTGCCAGGACAGTTTCAAACGAGCTCAAGCAGTCAGGAATTAGCATTCAGGTTGCACAGCGCCCCTGATTTAGGCATCGATCGGGGGCCCCACGTCCACATCCGTAGGTCTAGGGGTCTCCAGCGTTGGCGTAAAGGGGTCCGCAGGGGCAACCGCATCTCCACGCTGAGATCCCTGAAACAGCATATTAGACTCAAACTGTTTAAAACCGGTGCCGTGCCCCAGGCGATGTACGAATCTAAAGTTTTTGGAGCGTCTCCCAGCCGATTGAAAAAACTACGGCAGGCGGCGGCGTGTGCAGTGTGGGAACAGAAGCAGGGCAGGTGTTTAACCACGGTCCTGGCTCTCAGATTTGGGTCTCGCGATCCAGCCATCGTGGCCGTGCTTGACTTGTTAGTTGAGTGGTTTCGCTTTCTCAAGAAAGACGACACGCCCATCGGTCGTCTGCAGAAGTCTTGGGAGCGCGTTTACGCTCGCATTATTTCCAGTCCTCTCAAGCGTCGCTGGTCCAATATTAAGGGGCCGATTTCTGCCATTATCACCTCTCTCCTTTCTCTTGGGTGGGACACTCCCGGGCTCCTCGAGTGGCTGGATCCATTCGAAGAGCGCTGGGAGGCCCCCACTCAAGACCCCTCGTCCCTTGCTGCTTGCCTGGCCGCCTTCGACCCCTCCGACCTGCTGGCCGCCGTGCACGCCTCCGTGGAGCGGAAGCTTTGGGCAGGCGCGTCCGCACAGCACCTGGGGGGTGGGCTGCAGGAAGGCGTGGATCTCTTCAGCCTCCGCCTGCAGCTGTCGAGGCTAGGCAAGGCACAAGAGTACGAACGGCAGGCGGCCATCGAGTGTGCAGCCGCGGCCGGTATGTGGCCCAGACAGAGAGTTGCAGGGTGTGCCATTGGCGAATTCGACCCCACTTGCCCCAGATGTGGTCTCGCCCCTGAGACGCTCAGGCATCGTGTGTGGGAGTGCCTGTGCAATGACTCTCTTCCCGAGTGTACTGATTCAGTTGATCTTGTTGAGGCGGCGAAGACCGCCCTCGATTCAGATACCAACGTGTATTTTTGGATTCGTGGCCTCATCCCTGCTTCCCTTGTCGCTATCCCTGCCCCTCCTGACGCTGTCGATACGCACGACGTCGAGTATCCAGCGAATGAAGGCGAGGGCCCACCCCCCGAGCGCGACACGCGCCACGGCGAGGAGGGAGCCCCGCCTGAGGTGCTGGGACGTCTTTGTGCGGGGGACAGGTCGGGTGGTGAGCATGCCAAAGACCCAAGGTTGCGTCGATGTGCCTGGGCGTGGGTCGAGGTTAACCCCGCTTTGCCCCATGTCCAACTGTACCGCCGTCGTAGTGCTGCCCTCGCTGGTCGCAGACAGACCAGCAACCGAGCAGAGTTGAAAGCATTTTTGGACTGTTTATTGCACGCGCGCGAAGATCTGACATTCCTGACAGATAGCGGTTACGTTGCGCGTGGAATGGCTTCGGCTCCAGGCTGGGTCCAAGCCTGGATCTAACCAGGACCTCTGGCACGCCCTCTCGCTCGACCTCCGCTCCTGCCCCCTTCGCAGGATCGCCTTAATTAAAGTTGAAAGCCATGTGGATGCGGAAAGATTCCGCACGAGCGGCCTCCCCGAGCTATTCAGATTGGCCAACCACGAGGCCGACAGAGTAGCCGGGTGGGAGGCTGCTCAGAATCAGGTTTCTCCGGAGACCGCCGGCAGCGTCCTTGGAGTGGACGCCGTCGCTGAGCAGGTCCGAGCTCGTCTCGCAGCCACCTTGATCGCGTCTGCCAGTCACGATTCCAGGGGGCAAAGAGAGCGGGCCAGGCCGCTCGAAGGAGTTCGGAAAGCGGGCTTGACTCGCCTCGAGAAAGCGGTCGTTTCTTCCGCCCATCGTCCTTGTTTCGTTTTCGAGGGGTCTCGGATTTCGTGTGCAGTGTGTCGCCAGAAGCCGGCTCGGAGCGGAGCTATCGAGTGGCTCGCGACCCTTTGCACCCCGATCGACCCTCGCGCTACCCTCTCTGCCTCCTCCATTGGCCCCATTCGCATCGGTAACCAAGAGGTGCACAGCTCACACACGTGCAAGTTTTTTGAGCACGCTGACGGATGGGCATGCACCAGCTGTGGGGCCATCGGAATGGACAGAGCTATCCAAGGCCTCGCCCAGGAATGCTCGCATCAGATTTCTTCCAAAGGAGAGGATAACTTGCGCAAGCTCCGCCGAGGCCTCCTCCCAGGTGCCTCCGCTCGCGCCAAGGCCTTCAACAGGAGGGCGCGCGAGGGGCATGGAGGGGTAGCTCACCTTCCTCTTCCTCCGCCTCCCCCCCCTCTCTGAGCTCATTGGAGCGCTCGGTGCAAAAAAATTATAGCCGGAGTGCAATATCCCCAAACAGGGTTTTTAGACCCACTGTGGTTTCCAAGGTCGATCGCGTGCCCGTCCAGTGCGGGCTGGCATGGCATGTTAAAACATGCCTCCTCCTCCTCCTCCTCCTCCTCCTCCTCCTTTTCCTCCTCCTTCTCCTCCTGCTCCTCCTCCTCCTCCTCCTCCTCCTCCTCCTCCTCCTCCTCTTCCTCCTCCTCCTCCTCCTCCTCCTCCACCTCCTCTTCATCCCGAACGGCATCTCGGAGCCCAGAGTTGCGAGGATGTCTCCAGCGTAACGGGCTGGACCACCTCGCGCGCGGCATCTCGGACCCCAGAGTTGCGACGATGTCTCGGGCGAAACGTGGTGCGAGGAAGTTTCAGGCGAAACGGGCCGGACCACCTCGAGCGCGGCGTCTCAGAGCTCCGAGTTGCGGGGGCCTCCTGGGGCCTCCTGGGACCTCCTGGTGACCTCCTGGGGCTTCCTTCTGGGCCTCCTGTGGCCTCCTGGACCCCACCTGGGGTTTCCTGAAGCCTCTTGGGGCTCCCAGGGGGGGATATCTAACACGTGGCCGTCGGAGCCCCCCAAAATGGGGGGGGAGCACAAGAGCAGGAAAAATCAACGAATCGACACCGGAAGTGTATTAACTGGACACGTTCTGCTAGGGGGCCTCCTGGGGCCTCCTGGGAGCCTCCTGGGAATCTCCTGGGGATCCCTGGGGCCTGTCCTGGGCGTCCTGCGGCCTCCTGAAGCTCTCTGGGGCCTCCTGGGAGCCACATGTGGTCTTCTGGGCCCCCAGGCTGGACCACCTCTTGCGCAGCATCTGAGAGCTCAGAGTTGCGAGAATGTCTTGTGCGAAACGGGCCGGACCACCTTGCGCACTGCATCTCAGAGCTCAGAGTTGCGAGGATGTCTCAGGCGAGATGGGCCGGACCACCTCGCGCAGGGCATTTCGGAGCCCAGAGTTGCGAGGATGTCTCCACCGTGACGGGCTGGACCACCTCGCGCGCGGCATTTCGGACCCCAGAGTTGCGACGATGTCTCGGGCGAAACGTGGTGCGAGGAAGTCTCAGGCGAAACGGGCCGGACCACCTCGAGCGCGGCGTCTCAGAGCTCCGGGTTGCGGGTGCCTCCTGGTGCCTCCTGGGGCCTCCTGGGGACCTCCTGGAGCTTCCTCCTGGGCCTCCTGTGGCCTCCTGGACCCCACCTGGGGTTTCCTGAAGCCTCTTGGGGCTCCCAGGGGGGATATCTAACCTGTGGCCGTTTGGGCCTTTCCAAATGGAGGGGGGGGGCGCACAAGAGCAGGAAAGATCAACGAATCGACACCGGATGTGTATTAACTTGACACGTTATGATAGGGGGCCTCTTGGGGCCTCCTGAGAGCCTCCTGGGAATCTCCTGGGGGCCTGTTGATTCAGTGCGTATTGCCTCACTCCGCTGCCGTTTGGGCACTAGCTAGCTTGGTGACTCGCGGTGGGGCACCCGCGAGAGGAGAACAAGCTAGCCCTCACTCTTTCCAGAGGGCCCGGAGGACCCTTACTACCGCTCGGGCATTGACACTAGCTTGAGCCACCAGCCCTGAGTACAGCCATGGCGGACGGAGGCAGCGCTGGAGTGAGCAGCATTCGTGACCGACGATTCTCCGGGGAAGGAGCAGCTGCAGTCCAGGATTACAAGGCTTGGAAGTAATGGGCACGAGCAAGACTGCTGGTGGAAAAGGGGCGCGGAGGCAAGTCTGAGACCTTCGGCCCCATGTTGTACACCCTCTTGGAGGGAACGGCCGTGGACGCTCTGGAACATGTGGAGCTGGACGAGTTGGCAGTCGACGGCGGTGAAGAGAAGCTGTTCGCCGTCCTGGACGCACGATACCCAGAGCGAGAGGCGGCCGACCGAGTGGGAGACGCGCTGGAGTCCGTGTTTGGTCTGAAGATCGTGAAGGCGGAGCTCACTAGTGCGTACGTGGGCCGAGCCCAGACGATATTCATGAAGGCAAAGAAGGAGGGCGTGGAAATCCCTGATGTCGCTCAAGGATTTCTCCTTCTTCGGGGCGCCCGCCTCGGAGGCGACCGGCGCGCCGTCGTCCCCGCGGCCAGCGAGAGGCAGTGGACGTTTGAGAAGTTGGCCCTGGCACTCAAGACGGTCTACCCGAAGGTGCTGCCTGAGCACGGCGTGCACCTGGTGGAGGACGACTACGTGTGGGAGGCGGCGGGTGAAGAGCATCCTCCCGCGGCAAGCTCCCAGGAGGAGGTGGATGCGTTCCTGGCGGAGGTCGAGCAGGATCGTGAGGAACCCGTAGAAGAGGATGAGGCCATCCAGGTGCTGGCGACGTGGAAGGAGACCCGAGTGGCGGTCGCCGAGGAGCGGAAGAAGCGTGGGCTGCCACCTCCACAGGCGCCCGATCTGAAGAAGTTCTCCGCTCGGGTCCGCTGCTGGGCATGTAAGCAGGTGGGTCACTTCAGCAAGGAGTGCCCGAAACGAGCTGGCAAGAGTGGCGGCAAGGGCCGCTTCGGCCAGAGGTTCGGGGTTGGCTTCGTCGAGAGTTTCTTCGCTGGAGAAAAAGAGGCCGACCCCTGGAGTGAGATCGAGGAGATCCTGGCAACCTGGGACGACAGGGGCCTCGGAGAGCAGCTGACCGAGGATCATTTCACGCGTCGGCGAAAGGAGTTGGACGAGATCGCCGACGACGACGACGCGGCGGAGACGTTCATGGTGCACTCACCGGGCGCCGGGGTGATCGACCCAGGTTGCGCGAGGGCCCTGATTGGCTTGGACACGCTGAGCGAGCTGATCAAGACGTCTGGGAACGACATCGAGATCGACGAGGACCACAAAGTGGTCACGTTCAGTGGGTTCAGCGGTGCAACACTCCATCGGCGTCTGCAAGATCCCGTGGAGGCTCGGCAACCACCTCGAGATGGTCGACGCGTACGTGGTCCCGGGCCAGGCGGGCCTCTTTCTGAGCAAGCCCCTCCAGAAGAAGCTAGGATGCACGCTGGATATGGAGAATGACGAGCTGGTCTTCCCGAAGTTGGGCGTCCGCGTGCTGCTCCAGACGACCCGCGGCGGACACTGCGAGGTGCTGCTCGACGGATCATCAGCGGCCCCCATCGCGAGCAAGGATTTTCAGTAGGGCCGGGCCGTAGCCCTGAGGCCGTAGACGAGATGCGCGTTGCGAGCCAAGCAAGTTCGCGGAGACCCGTCATCATGGAGGTGTTCTCTCCCCCGGGGCTGACCAAGTGGGCCAAGGAGTTTGGGTTTGAGGATGGCGGCGCATGCGATTTGCAGACAGGTTGGGGTGCCCGCCAGCGCGAGGACGTCTCCCGGCTTTCCTGCGACCTGGAGACCAAGGATCCGTTCCTCGTTTCGCGCAGTCCCCCCTGTGGCAAGCTGTCGCCACTGCAGGCTCTCACGCCCGAGGACCGACGCAAGGGCCCTGAGAGGTTTGAGCGCGAGTTTCAGGAAGTTGTCTCTTTTATTGTCTTGTGCCTGGTGACTGCGGAGTGGCAGATGATGCGCGGGAAGCATTTCATACTCGAGCAATCCCGAGGGAGTTCGGCATGGGGCTTGAAGGAGATGACTTATTTCCTGACGGAGTTTTCCCCCTTCATCGCAGAGGCGGCGGCGTGCAGGTTTGGCACGCTGGACCGGGTGTCAGGGGTTCCCCTCGCCAAGGTCTGGCGCTTCGCCTCGGATCTCCCGGAGGTGGCCGAGGAGGTGGGCCGCCAGTGCCGAGGCGGTCACGGGCATCAGGACGTGATGGACAGCGCTGGCGGCGTGAAGCGTTCGGTCTGGTCCCAGATCTATCCGGACAGACTGGCGAAGGCGTTAGTGAAAGGCGCCTACCGGGCCAGAATGGAGAACCAGAGCTACAACCGCCAGACGGCCGCCCACGAGGCGGAGGCCATGGGGGTCGGCGACCAGGGGAAGGACGAGGAGGCGGACACCGAGGGTAAGGATCGCCTCGCCCGGGACGACCTGTACCATGGCCAGCCGCAGACCATCGAGGCTGGCTTGCGCCGTCTACACGTCAATCTCGGCCACGCCCCTGTGCCTACCATGATGAGACATCTACGCCATGCGAATGCGACCGAGGGTGTCCTGAAGATGGCCGCGGAGTTTCGCTGCCCAGAGTGCGGCGTCAAGGCTGACCCGAAGGCGGTTCGCCCAGCGGCACAAGACATTGCGCAGCCCCTTTTGAGATCCATCGGCATGGACGTGAAGGAGCTCCCGGGCTGGATGCCTGATCAGATCGCCAAGGCACTCAACATCGTGTGCGATACGTCGTCGCTGCAGTCCATGACTCCGTTCGATGAGGGCGATGACGAGGTGGCGGCCGACCTGTTGCGCCTGTGCCGAGACAATTGGATTCGGCCATACCTGTGCCCGATGTGGATCCGCCTTGACCCGGCGAAGCCTCACGTGTCCAAGGTCTTCACGAGTGCGATGGAGCGGGACGGGACCACAATCCTGGACACGGCCGGCAGCGCCAAGGAGCAGAACGGGAAGGTGGAGCGGCATGACAGTGGTTCGCCCAGATGCTGCGCGCCGTGATCGCGAGTAGCGCGAATGCGTGGTGCAGGTGCAGGAGGCCAAGAACTCTCTCCTAAGCGTCGGCGGGGTCAGCCCGGCCCAGATCGTTTTCGGGCGGAACCCCGAGGTGCCAGAGGGCCTGCTGGTGGACTCGCCGGACATCGTGGCGAACAGCGCAGTCCTGCACGACCCGCCGGCGGCGTTTGCTGCTCGAGTCCGCGCGGTGGCCAGGCGACAGGTTCTGAGCTACAACGACAAGCCGGCGACCCGCCTGGCCCTGGACGCGCGGCCCCGGAAGCTTGTGAAGCACCAGCCGGGCGACATGGTGGCGGTCTGGCGCAACGTGAACAAGGTGGCTGGGCGACGCGCCCACTATCGTTGGAGGCCTGGCGCGTGCATGGGCGCGGTCCGCGGCAACTATTGGATTGCCGTGCCGGGCAGTGTGCTGAAGGCCTCGCCAGAGCAGCTGCGCCCCGCCAACTCGGAGGAGAGGGCAGCGTGGCGCCTAGTGGGGTCGTCGCTACGGACTCACACCGTCGACCTGGATGACATGAAGGCGAAGTTCTACTCGGACATCGCCGCGGACGCGCGGCCGCCGGAGGCCGCCGATGAGGAGGAGTCCGTCCCAGAGACAGCAGGAGGCGACGCGCGGCCGGCACCGCCAGAGGCCCCTCCACAACCCGAGGCCTCACCACCTGCCGAAGCAGAGCCGCCTGCTGCCGACTCAGCGGAGATCCCGGCCCCAGGGGATGCGCCGGGGGACAGGCCTAACGAGGAGACGGAGGGCGATCAAGGCTGTGCTGGGTCTGCTGGAGCTCCTGTCGACTCCGAGCCGGCGGAGGTCCGGAAGCGGCTGCGATGCAAGACGTATGTGGAGGAGGCGAAGCGCCCCCGCGTCGGGAGCGAAGTGCCGATGCCTCCTGGGAGCGGGGGCCTGGACCCTCAGGCTGCGAGGACGAGTTCAGCCCTCAAGCGAAGCCTGTCAGCTCGCCGGCCTGGACGCCCCAAGCAGCAGCGTGTGCAGTCAGTTCTGGCAGTTACGGCCTCGCCCCACAGCGATGACGACGACGAGATCTTGGCGGTGGACATAAAGGAGGTCCTGCTGGCCAGAGGCAGGCGAGAGCTTGACAGGCGGGAACCGCGCTGGTGTTCAAAGGACGGGCTGGCCAAGATCGCACAGGGCTAAGCCAAGGAGTGCAGCAAGCTGATCGAGAAGACCCAGGCTTGGCGCCCTCTTCCGCTTGAGGAGTCGAGGAGAGTGCGGTCTACCCAGCCTGATCGCATCATGAAGCCCCGACCGGTCCTGACGGAGAAGGAGGACGAGGAGGGCAACGTTGCAGTTAAGTGTAGGATGATCATCCAAGGGTTCAAGGACCCAGACCTTCTGGAGTTGGTGAAGGCGGGCCGCACTCAGGCCCCGACGCTGTCCTCAAACGGGAGGGCGTTCGTCCTCCAGACCATCGCTTCCGCCAAGTTTCCCTTGGCCATCGGGGACGTGGAGGGGGCCTTCCTCGAGACGGACGCGTCGCTGGCCCCGGCAGAGCACGGCGCGATCTACGTTTCGCTACCGTCGAAGTTCTTGCCGGACGGGATGCACGGGGATCAGCTCTGCGAGGTCATCAACGGCTACGGCCGGAGCGATCAGCCTCAGCTGTGGTGGCTGACCTTCAGCAAGTTCCTGGTCGAGGAGCTGGGCTTTGTGAAGCATCCCATGGACCCGTGCGTGCTGTTGCTGTTTGAGGATGTCGGCGACTCCGTGGAGTTCGACCTCGATGACTACCGGATCATCGACGGCCAGGGAGCAGAGCCCCTTCGAGCGGCCCGGCCTGGCGACCTGTGTGGTGTCATCGGCCAGCACGTGGACGGCGGCGTGTTCGGCGGCCGGGGACCCAAGTGGGCCGAGGCTTTGTCGCAGCTGAGGAGCCGTTTTCCATACCGCAAGTGGCGCGAGAAGGAGGCCGAATTCGTCGGGCCCCGGCTGCGACAGCTTTCCGACTACACCATTGTGCAGACGCAGCATCAGCACGCGGCTGAGGAGATGAAGCGAGTGTCGACCCGCCGACATGCGAGCGCTGACGCTCTGGCGGTCCCGTCAGAAATAAAAGATTTCATCTCCCTCAACCAGCGGGGGAACTGGCTGGCGACCCAGACCCGGCCAGACCTCAGCATCCTCGTGAGCTCGAACCAACAGAAGATGCCCCACCCCACAGTCGGTGATATCAGGAAAGGAAATATGTTGGCTCGTCGTGCTCAGCAGTTTGCAGACCTCGAGATCCGATACCCCTCGATCCCAATCGCCGAGCTTACCATCATCCTCCACTCAGACTACTCGTCGAAAGAAATGTCCAACATGGGCCACACGCAGGGGGGCTACATCATCGGGGTGACTAACAGGGGCATGGAGCTAGGCAGGGTTTCCCCGTGGAGCCCCTTGATCTGGAGGAGTTATCGGGTGAAGCGGGTGGTCAAGTTTACGTTGGCGGGGGAGTCGTCTGTGATGACCGACGGTCTCGGACATTTGGAGTGGGTCATGTGCTTCTTCGCCATGGGGTTCTTTCGAGGCTTCACTCTTGGAGATCGGGCCAGGTATCTGAGTAAGTTCAAGAGTCTGGCGGTCATCGACTGCAAGAGTATCTATGACAACGTGTGCAAGATGGGGAGCCCGTCTGGGATCGACGATAAGAGATGTACAGTAGATGTTGCCATAAGTAAGGAGAGTCTGGCACGTCTTGGGACCGTGCTGCGTTGGGGCCCCACGTCCCTGATGCTGGCGGATTGTCTCGCGAAGGATAAGGCGGAGCCCGCCGATCTCCTCCGAAGCTGTGTCCGCCACGGGACCTACCAGCTCGCCGATGAGAGCAGTGTCTTGGCTCAAGCATCGGCGGAGCGCGCCTTGCGGAAGCAGTTCGCGGCCCCACCGCCCGCGAAGAACTTGCGGGCAGATGGTGAAGATCGAGGCGAATAACTCGGCGAGTGGCGTGAGGAGTTTCTTGGAAGGTCTGGCGGAGGCAGGCGAGGGCAACGTCGAGGGCTCCAGCAACAAGGTCAAGGTGCAGATTCGCGCGGGAGTCCTGGACGACCGCCTGTCGGGCAAGCAGAGCGTCTCGCAGATCACGCTGGTGTACCACGCCAGCACGGGGCACATCACGTTGCACTCGCCGGCGGCGCTCGAGGACGGCATGCGCGACCGCCTGAAGGTGCTCGAGGGCCTCTACCACATGGCGCTGAAGAACGACCTGGTGCCACCGGCCCCGCCTGGAGGATCGATCGTGGAGAACTCCTTCCGCCTCCCGGCCTGGGACGAGTTGTCGGCGGGCAACTCGGAGAGCCAGGGCGGCCCTCCCAGCACGGGAGCTGGCGGGACGCAACACAGCTGCCGGCCATCTCGGACACTACGTCTGCCCAGGGAGTCGGAGATGCACAGCGAGATCGGGGACGTCGGAGTGTCAGTGTGCGAGCACATGGCGGACTTTCCCCTCTGGCGCGATAAGATCTTCAGATTCTTAGTTGAGGAGTGTGGTCTGCAGCCAGAGATGTTGAACGAAGAGGATCCGGAGTCATGGAAGCAGACAGGTGCGTTTGACCAGGCTCCGATCGTGGCGGTGGAGGAGGGCTCTGTTGCCGAGGATGCTATGTCCCTGGGGAGCTGGATGCCCGCTTCGTCGAGAGCGGCGGGTTCGAGCCGAGCGGGGGCGCCTACGTCGAAGGCGTCAGGCTCAGAGGACAGGCTCCCCTAGGAGACCGACATCTGAGTGGCTTTCGCCTCCCGTGCGCCGTGCTCTGGACAATGGTCTGTGTGATGTGAAGAGGGTTTCAGCCGACGCTGAGCCCAAAGTCGGAGTTGAGGCAACTTTTAAATTGTGGGAGTGTTGATTCAGTGCGTATTGCCTCACTCCGCTGCCGTTCGGGCACTAGCTAGCTTGGTGACTCGCGGTGGGGCACCCGCGAGAGGAAAACAAGCTAGCCCTCACTCTTTCCACAGGGTCCGGAGGGCCCTTACTACCGCTCGGGAATTGACAGGGCCCCTGGGGCCTGTCCTGGGCGTCCTGCGGCCTCCTGGACCTCTCTGGGGCCTCCTGAGGCTCGCAGGGTCCCATGGAGGATATGTAACATGTGGTCTTCTGGGCCCCCAGGCTGGACCACCTCTTGCGCAGCATCTGAGAGCTCAGAGTTGCGAGAATGTCTTGTGCGAAACAGGCCGGACCACCTTGCGCACGGCATCTCAGAGCTCAGAGTTGCAAGGATGTCTCAGGCGAGACGGGCCGGACCACCTCGCGCAGGGCATCTCAGAGCTCAGAAGTTCGAGGATGTCTCAGGCGAAACGGGCCGGACCACCTCTCGCGCGGCATCTCCGAAGTCAGAGTTTCGAGGATGTCTCAGGCGAAACGGGCCGGACCACCTCGCGCAAGGCATCGCAGAGCTCAGAGTTTCGAGGATGTCTCAGGCGAAACGGCCCGGACCACCTCTCGCACGGCACCTCGGGGCTCAGAGTTTCGAGGATGTCTCAAGCGAAACGGCCCGGACCACCTCTCGCGCGGCGTCCCGGAGCGCAACTTTTTGAGGATGTCTCAGGCGAAACGGCCAATCCCAGCCAACTCAGAAACGAGAGTTGTGAGGATGTCTCAAGCGAAACGGCCAAAACCATAATTTTTTGTGAGGATGTCTCTGCTCCGCGTTCCCTCGGCCGGAGTTAGTTTCTATCACAACAGCACCCCGTTCAGCAAGCTGTTTGGAGAAAAAATCGCGACGTCGGATGTCTGCGCAGGGCGGAAAGCAGGGCGCGCATGGCGGCATCTCGGAGCTTCGCATTGTGAGGATGGCTCGGGAGAAACGGGCTGGACCACCTCGCGTGCGGCATCTCGGAACTTAGTATTGGAAGGATGCCCCAAGCGAAACGGGCCGTTCTACCTCTCGACTCCCGTTAAGCCCTCTCGTACAACTCCATTCCTAATCCCTCCTCTTCCTGCTCCTCCTCCTCCTCCTCCTTCTCGTCCTCCTCCTCCTCCTCCTGCCTGCTCCCT